AGAGTGACTGAGGCTAGGGGCTGTTTGTGTTCACTGGGATCACCATCTAGAGAATGACTGAGGCTAGGGGCTGTTTGTGTGCTGGGGTCACCATCGAGAGAGTGACTGAGGCTAGGGGCTGATTGTGTACTGGGGTCACCATCTAGAGAATGACTGAGGCTAGGGGCTGTTTGTGAGCTGGGGTCACCATCTAGAGAATGACTGAGGCTAGGGGCTGTTTGTGCACTGGGGTCACCATCTAGAGAATGACTGAGGCTAGGGGCTGTTTGTGTTCACTGGGGTCACCATCTAGAGAATGACTGAGGCTAGGGGCTGTTTGTTCACTGGGCTCACCATCTAGAGAGTGACTGAGACTAGGGGCTGTTTGTTCACTGGGGTCACCATCTAGAGAGTGACTGAGGCTAGGGGCTGCTTGTGTACTGGGGTCACCATCTAGAGAATGACTGAGGCTAGGGGCTGTTTGTGTACTGGGGTCACCATCTAGAGAATGACTGAGGCTAGGGGCTGTTTGTTCACTGGGGTCACCATCTAGAGAATGACTGAGGCTAGGGGCTGTTGTGTACTGGAGTCACCATCTAGAGAATGACTGAGGCTAGGCGCTGTTTGTACGCCGGGGTCACCATCTAGAGAATGACTGAGGCTAGGGGCTGTTTGTTCACTGGGGTCACCATCTAGAGAATGACTGAGGCTAGGGGCTGTTTGTGAGCTGGGGTCACCATCTAGAGAATGACTGAGGCTAGGGGCTGTTTGTGCACTGGGGTCACCATCTAGAGAATGACTGAGGCTAGGGGCTGTTTGTGTTCACTGGGGTCACCATCTAGAGAATGACTGAGGCTAGGGGCTGTTTGTTCACTGGGCTCACCATCTAGAGAGTGACTGAGACTAGGGGCTGTTTGTTCACTGGGGTCACCATCTAGAGAGTGACTGAGGCTAGGGGCTGCTTGTGTACTGGGGTCACCATCTAGAGAATGACTGAGGCTAGGGGCCGTTTGTGTACTGGGGTCACCATCTAGAGAATGACTGAGGCTAGGGGCTGTTTGTTCACTGGGGTCACCATCTAGAGAATGACTGAGGCTAGGGGCTGTTGTGTACTGGGGTCACCATCTAGAGAATGACTGAGGCTAGGCGCTGTTTGTACGCCGGGGTCACCATCCAGAGAATGACTGAGGCTAGGGGCTGTTTGTTCACTGGGGTCACCATCTAGAGAATGACTGAGGCTAGGGGCTGTTTGTTCACTGGGGTCACCATCTAGAGAATGACTGAGGCTAGGGGCTGCTTGTGTGCTGGGGTCACCATCTAGAGAATGACTGAGGCTAGGGGCTGTTTGTACGCTGGGGTCACCATCTAGAGAATGACTGAGACTAGGGGCTGTTTGTGTGCTGGGGTCACCATCTAGAGGGTGACTGAGGCTAGGGGCTGTTTGTGTTCACTGGGGTCACCATCTAGAGAATGACTGAGGCTAGAGGCTGTTTGTGCGCTGGGGTCACCATCTAGAGTGACTGAGGCTAGGGGCTGTTTGTGTTCACTGGGATCACCATCTAGAGAATGACTGAGGCTAGGGGCTGTTTGTGTGCTGGGGTCACCATCGAGAGAGTGACTGAGGCTAGGGGCTGATTGTGTACTGGGGTCACCATCTAGAGAATGACTGAGGCTAGGGGCTGTTTGTGAGCTGGGGTCACCATCTAGAGAATGACTGAGGCTAGGGGCTGTTTGTGCACTGGGGTCACCATCTAGAGAATGACTGAGGCTAGGGGCTGTTTGTGTTCACTGGGGTCACCATCTAGAGAATGACTGAGGCTAGGGGCTGTTTGTTCACTGGGCTCACCATCTAGAGAGTGACTGAGACTAGGGGCTGTTTGTTCACTGGGGTCACCATCTAGAGAGTGACTGAGGCTAGGGGCTGCTTGTGTACTGGGGTCACCATCTAGAGAATGACTGAGGCTAGGGGCTGTTTGTGTACTGGGGTCACCATCTAGAGAATGACTGAGGCTAGGGGCTGTTTGTTCACTGGGGTCACCATCTAGAGAATGACTGAGGCTAGGGGCTGTTGTGTACTGGAGTCACCATCTAGAGAATGACTGAGGCTAGGCGCTGTTTGTACGCCGGGGTCACCATCTAGAGAATGACTGAGGCTAGGGGCTGTTTGTTCACTGGGGTCACCATCTAGAGAATGACTGAGGCTAGGGGCTGTTTGTGAGCTGGGGTCACCATCTAGAGAATGACTGAGGCTAGGGGCTGTTTGTGCACTGGGGTCACCATCTAGAGAATGACTGAGGCTAGGGGCTGTTTGTGTTCACTGGGGTCACCATCTAGAGAATGACTGAGGCTAGGGGCTGTTTGTTCACTGGGCTCACCATCTAGAGAGTGACTGAGACTAGGGGCTGTTTGTTCACTGGGGTCACCATCTAGAGAGTGACTGAGGCTAGGGGCTGCTTGTGTACTGGGGTCACCATCTAGAGAATGACTGAGGCTAGGGGCCGTTTGTGTACTGGGGTCACCATCTAGAGAATGACTGAGGCTAGGGGCTGTTTGTTCACTGGGGTCACCATCTAGAGAATGACTGAGGCTAGGGGCTGTTGTGTACTGGGGTCACCATCTAGAGAATGACTGAGGCTAGGCGCTGTTTGTATGCCGGGGTCACCATCCAGAGAATGACTGAGGCTAGGGGCTGTTTGTTCACTGGGGTCACCATCTAGAGAATGACTGAGGCTAGGGGCTGTTTGTTCACTGGGGTCACCATCTAGAGAATGACTGAGGCTAGGGGCTGCTTGTGTGCTGGGGTCACCATCTAGAGAATGACTGAGGCTAGGGGCTGTTTGTACGCTGGGGTCACCATCTAGAGAATGACTGAGACTAGGGGCTGTTTGTGTGCTGGGGTCACCATCTAGAGGGTGACTGAGGCTAGGGGCTGTTTGTGTTCACTGGGGTCACCATCTAGAGAATGACTGAGGCTAGAGGCTGTTTGTGCGCTGGGGTCACCATCTAGAGTGACTGAGGCTAAGGGCTGTTTGTGTTCACTGGGGTCACCATCTAGAGAATGACTGAGGCTAGGGGCTGTTTGTGTTCACTGGGGTCACCATCTAGAGAATGACTGAGGCTAGGGGCTGTTTGTGAGCTGGGGTCACCATCTAGAGAATGACTGAGGCTAGGCGCTGTTTGTACGCTGGGGTCACCATCTAGAGAATGACTGAGGCTAGGGGCTGTTTGTGCGCTGGGAGAGGCATCTAGCGGTAATCAATTGAAACTCTATGCCCCGCCCTCTCTATGCCCCGCCCTCTCTACGCCCTGCCCTTTCAAGTGGTCAGAGTTTCATTCATGGGCGGTTCGTGGTTGCAGAGATATAGCGATTTCAAATCGGGTCCATCTCTTTGAAACACCCTGTATTAATACTGGAGGAATTCGATGAGCTATACAGCTCTTTTCCGCAGATCTCCAGTTGGGGCGGGTCGGAAGGTTGCGACAATAAACAGCACAGAAACACGATAGGAGTGCAAAGTATCAGTAAGCAAACCACGTGAGAAAAAAAGATACAATCACAAACTATTTTATCTTAGCAGGTAAAGCCCACTGAGCTGATGACCCTCTTCTTCAGAAGCGCCCTATCACAAGTGGTAGCTCAACGAAGTGGCTCATCCGTGTCGTGTGGAAAATTTATAGCAGCAGCAGCCCAAATAATCTAAAAATAATCCCAGCGTTGCTCATCCACACGTGGCTATCGCCCCCCCCCCCAACCCCGCGGAATCGATCGTTGGCCCCGCGCGATGATTAATTAATTCCCACGGGGGTCTCATCGGGCTAATTACAGGGAACGGTTCAACTCGGTACGGCACTCTCTGGGCTCGTCTTCCAACACCGCATCTTCCCACCTCCCCCCAAAGACAAAGATCCTCCGTACAGCCTTGAACAGACTGTCGGGGCAAGTGCTGTTAGCGAGTAGCAGCTATGAAGGCCGGCACGGCACACGAGGCGGTGGGTGGCCAACACCACGCCCGGCCGCCTTTGTCTCCCAGTGGCGATGTTTACACACCGTGCTCATTCGAGGCGACCTAGAAGAGACCCAGGACCGGTTCAGATAATAATTATAATCGTCACCGGTGTTGGCCGTGAGCGGGAATACAACTCAGGATGCCGTGTTCGTAGCGAAACGCGCTAACCTGCTACACTACCGCCCCCCCCCCTCCCCCCACCCCACTCCCACCCCCCCACCCCCCCTAAGAGATTAACGCAGCAGCGGCAGCAGCAGCACAGAATTCAAATGGAGTGCCGCAACTTTACATGCACGCCGCGCCTCGTGCCCGTGGAGTTTGCCCGTGCCCTGTAATTCAATAACCGCGCTAAAGACGCCGGAGCTACGGCATTGCAGCTCACGCCGTGGAGCCGACGGTAGACCCACTGAGAATACAGCCGCAAAGAGACCCACAGGAGATACTTAAAACACATATAGATACATAGAGATACACAGGGATACGTAGACCCATATACTGAAGATGTATACACACCCACAAAGACCCATAAAGATACTTGAGACACAGAGAGATTCACAGAGATAGAAATATCGGAGATAGAGACCCATATACATACGTCGACCCATATACATGCATATACCTTATACTGGAGATGCATATAGACCCACAGAGATATACATCTATCCATAAATATTATTGATACATATACACAGAGATCCATAGAGACACGTAGACCCATGTAGATGCATATAGACCCAGAGATAAGAGACAAAGAGATGCATTCGAGACAAGCCACAGTCGTGCAATTGTGGCCATGGAATCCCAAACTACGGAACGCACAGCAAACCCACTGGTCTGCACTCCTTCAACGGAGGAGGAACAGCGAAATGACACGAACTCTCTCTCTCTCGTCGTGGCCAGCATACATCTCGACGTTGGCATCTACGGCTCTTGAACCGAATTGCCGCTGCCATCGTGCGCAACGAGCGAATAGAACCGCACAGAGACAACAACAAAAAACCCCAGCACAGCAGATTTGATTCGTCACTTTACTTGGTGAACTTCCAGCTCCGAGAAGAGTCCGCGTGCGAGAGCACAAATCGTCACCGCCCACGGCAGAACAACTTCAGCACGGGACTCGTTGTTATTCGTCGTACGGCTTGAGAGTGCCACTCAATGTGCGATACAGAAAAGTGAAGCCTCTGTTTCCTGGGATTTCCTCCCTCCTCTCAACACGCGACTCTCGGTGTGACAGTCAACGGCCGAGAATCTCGATCGACTCTGTTCACATTTCCAGGCTGCTCACAATTCCTTCGCACCGCTCATGATTCCTTCGCAACGCACTGTTAGACTCTTGTCGAGCACCCGGTAAACGCCGAGGTGTTGCCTCTAAACTCGCAGCGGCTTCGGCGCAACAGGCAGACGAGTAACACCAGCATGCGCGACCTTGCAGGCAACAAACTTTCATTTTTGAGCGGCACCATAATGAGGTCGACGGTAGTCCCATATTTGACGACTCTTTCCGCACACGGCTACGACATAATCAGCTGTTGTTGGCCACATAAACTGAAGCCGCTCGAGTTGACCCGACCCTCAGGTGGCACCAACTTCACAAGTTGCTCAACGCCGGCTCTGGGCTCACGGACGCGACGGAAACGTTGCGCAGTGCCCACAATCGCGACGTCCGTGGCCGTGCGGGATCGTGCAGCGCCCCCTGGTGTAGACAAGAGATATTACCTCGGAAGCGTTGCCGCGACCATCGGCTTTGGCTGGCGGGCGCCTTCTCTTGTAACGCACGGGAGCCCCCGCGAGCGTCTTGCACGGATGCTCGGCGTCACGCCGACGAGACTATCCATCTGTTGTTTTTTCTTCACCAGGTAAGGCCCACAGAGCTGCTAGACAGCTCTTTTTCAGAACTGACCTTGCCGCAGATGATAGCTCAAACAATTGGCTCGTCATCGTGTGGAAATTTGTAGCAGCCAAATGCTCTCAACGCGTGATGTTCATTCTACATGTGGAGGGGGAGAAAACCAGAGGACTCGGAGGGAAATCAAGGCGATCACGGGGAGAACATGCAAACTCCAAATATACAGCAGCAGGCGTCAGGGTCTGGATCGAACCTACGACCGCCTGTATACCAGGCGAAGTCGTTAACATCTCCTAGCCACCTGCAGCGCAACAGCTCCACTGCCGGATAAGGGCCTCCACTCAGCGTCGGGCCACGGCGATTATTTAACCTCGCGTCACCACGCCGCTCAGCGGCGGGTTAGCGACCGGGAAGCCGACGCGGAAAACTCGGTTCCGTCCGCAGTGCGCCGACGTTACCGGGAAGCGAACCGAATGACACGGTCAGAGGGCGGCCCGCGTGGTGCGAGCCGCACGCCGCTGATCGGGGGCCGAACCCGTGGCTGAGCCGTAGGCAGAATGTTGGTGAAATACAAATGACAACTTGCACGCAAGAGAGAAATGTTTACGTGCGATGCCCGGCGTGGGGAGACGGCGGGCGGTCATCACAGCGGGGCGTGAACATGCCAGCATTAAATAATTGGGGGAGCCGAGGGGGGTGGCAGGGGTGGGGCGGGGGGGTGCAGAGGGGTCAGGAGGGGTCAGAAGAAGTCAAGACAGGTCAGGGCACAATCAGGTGGGGGTAAGAACGGGTGAGGAGAAGTCAGGTGAGAGGTCGTCATTCAGAGTGACGAGAGGTCGGGAAAGGTTCCGGAAGATGCCAGGAGGGGGGCGGGGGATGGGCGAGCCGTCCGTGGTGGGGTCACGCCTTGGACGTGCTCGGCTGCTGCTGCTGCATGGCCTGCAGCTGCTGCTGGATTCTCGCGTTGAATGTCTCGGTCACAGCTGTTGGAGAACACAGATCGCCAACACCACCGCCGTTACACCACCAGCGCACACGCCGCATTCGCCGCGATGATAATAGCGAAGGTGACGACGACGGTGACGGTGGCGTTGACATTAGCGGCAGTGATGATGGTGCTGATGATGATGGTATATTGACGTTACCGATAGCGATGATCGTAACTGACGGTGTTGCGAGTGACAGTGATGACATTGCTGAAGCTGGCGCTGATGTTGTTGACACGAGCTCGTCATGACGACGACGCTGATGGTATTTGATGTGAACGATTGGGATGATGGTGATGATGGTGGCGTTCATGTTGGCGATAGTGATATTGCTGCTGCTGCTGCTGCTGACGGTGGTGCCAATGGTCGCTCGCTCACCCTGCTTCAGCGCAAACTTCTCCTGCAGCACCGGCTGGATCTTCTCAATCTGCTTGGTGAGGAAGTCGATCTTCCGCTGGAAGAACTCCTTGGCCTCCTCCACGGTCTGGGAATCATCAGTGACACGTGTCTCCACTTTAGAACCGCGAGAGTCGGAGGACGTGACTCGCATTACGCGACCAGCATGCGAGTGTGGATTCACACACTTGTGATCCCCCCCGCTTATGCACAACTGATATTCACGAAGGCACTCCAGTTTCCTTCCACAATGTCCCCGGTTGAGTTTTGTTGTCCTTCCCCTCCCCCCCCCCCTCCAACACCTTCAATTAAGATGCTTGGCAATGTAAGGTGCGAAAGAAGTTCATCATACATCAGTGCATACATACACACAACATGGGATCTTTATTGCCAGTATCAGAGTATAAGTAAAGGTTTTACCCTTTCTGGAAATAAAACAGGTGAGAAGATGTTCAAACACCAAACAGAAACCTTTATCAAGGGGTCATGTCTGCATTAGCCACACATGCTTGTGGTGAACATGCAAAAAACACATGCTCTAGTAATGTATGCATTGTTTTTTAAACTGATTGGTCTTCACCAAAGACAGCCTCTTTTGGCGTCCTCTGGTCTGATACTGATTGAGCCTAGGCACCATGTACGTACACAAGCAGACAATCCCTGACGGGGCCACACACACGCGAAGCTTCGCAGGCCTTCACGAACAACAGGATATGAGAATACAGTCAAGGTGAACAGACCATCGCGGCAAGCGCTTTTTGATGCCGTGGACACACCGCCATTGCCTCCTTCCTCCTGCCTAATCCTGTAGTGTTCACCCGACTCTCCAGAATTTGCTCGCGAGTTTTATCGTGACCACCCCTGCACACGTGTCCCACCCATCACAACCTCCTCCTCCTCTTCCCAATTACAGATAGCCCCCGAGTTACGATGGTCTGACTTACGATATTTCGATCTTACGATGGCGATACGACAAAATTGTTAAAATATTTTAAATTTCGCGTGGCAGGCAAACGCAGCAGCGTACGAATCTTGGCGAGTACAGTACAATATTATACGCTACGATACGTTCAATGCATGTAAGATACGTAGCTTTAGCGATTTCATTTCAGGGTTACTACGATGATACGTTCAATGCATGTTAAAAGTTTTTATAGCAGATAGGATTGTTTCCTGAAAAAACTTTCTATTAAATTGCAGTTCATATAGGTAGGCTAAGAATTTACCTTGTTTTTTTACTTTGCATTTTACTTTGCAATACAGTATTGTAATTAATAAATACATACAGTATATAGTTTATACAGTACGGTAGTGTAAATTGCTCTGTTTTGCTAAATTATCACCATTCTTTAAGACTCCTGGGTAGGCTAGGCCATCTTCGACTTACGATATTTTTCACTTACGATGGGGTCGTCGTAACGCATCTCCATCGTAAGTAGAGGACTACCTGCACATCCACAACGCCTTACTACCACATACTATTCCCAACCTCGAAGTTGATTACCCCATCCCACATTGACATTCTCCGCGTGCCGCATAATCAAACTCTCCACGTACTGTGCCAAGGCATTAAACGTCCCGTTGAGTTGCCGAGCACTAAAGCCCAGCGGGCTGGATGACACTTTGGGATAAGATGGTGATGGACAAGAGCCAAGGGACACCCACCTTCTCCACATAGTAGCCCGTGCCGATGTCCACCATCACGTGCTCCACATCATTCAGATGCCCCGGCACGTACATCTGCTGTGGGGTTAAGGGTCACGGTGCACAGCCAAACCAAAAAGACACAACACAACCACCACCACCCATCACCAGCAACAACAAAACGCCATTACCACCACCAACACCACAACCAGACACAACAGCAACCAGCAGTAGCAACAACAACCACTGCCAGAGACCACAACACAATACCATCACTGCCAGACACAACCACCACCAGAAACAACAACTCAGCCACCACCACAATCAGACACAAGCACACAAAACCAACACCAGGCACAACAACCACCACCAGCAACAAAACACAACCAGACAACCGCGCCAAACAAACAGCATGACACAACCACCAGCGGCAACAAAACACACCCACCAGACAACCGCCACCGCTGGACACCACTACCACACAATACCATCAAAACCACCGCCAACAAAACGTAACCACCGCCAACAAAACGTAACCACCGCCGCCGCCAGATGACCGCCACCACCGCCGCCGCGAGCCAGGGCGCAGGGGAGATGTCGAGGCCAAGGATACGGAGCTTGTGAGAGGCACCAGCAATTCTTTTCCTGCAAAAAAATAAACCAACGGGTGAGCGGCCATGCCGCACGGGAAGTAGTCAGATCAGCACGGCTGGGTACGTGCGGTGGGAAAGAAAGTTCGACATAAACACATACACACGTACGAACACGGCGGCACAGGAAGGACGAGTCGTTTGGCAGAAGCGCCATCTCACAAGCGGAGTCTTTCAACGATTTAGTGACCCCCCCCGACTGCCGCCCCCCCCCACCCCCCCTACTAGCCAACATGCACAGCTCCATGGCCTCCCCATATATTAGCCCCCCCCCCCACCCCCGTGTTGTAACTTTGCTGACCCCTCCATACTGGACATCAGTGACAAAAGAGCTTCATAGCTCATCGGATTCCTCCTAAAGTCTAAATAAGGATCCCGATTCTCCCATCCCTCACGACGCGTGAAGGCGGGCAGAGTGTTGTTTACTGTTGCAGTGTAAACCGTGTGCCCTTGACACGCACCTGCGTTGTCTTTATTGAGCTTGCTGAGGCATTCCTTGGACTCCACGAACTTGGTCTGAGCCACCTTTAGCTGCTGCACCGACGTGGAGAGGAAATCCAACTCCTGCAACGCGGGTGACGGAGAGAGAGGCGCGTGTCAGGCCGCCATGCGACAACCGATCCATACCGCTTGCCGAGGGCTTACACTCGTGTGGATACACACACGTGGACACACACGCGCGTGGACACACACGCGTGTGGACACACATACACACACGCGTGTGGACACACACACACACACGCGCGTGTGTGTGGACACACATACACACACGCGTGTGGACACACAGACACGCGCGTGTGGACACACATACACACACGCGCGTGGACACACACACACGCGCGTGGACACACACACACACGCGCGTGTGAACACACATACACACGCGCGTGTGGACACACACACACACACACGTGTGGACACACACGCGTGTGGACACACACGCGTGTGTGGACACACACACACGCGCGTGTATATACACACACACACACACGTGTGGACACACACGCGTGTGGACACACACGCGCGTGTGGACACACACGCGTGTGGACACACACACACACGCGTGTGGACACACACACACACACACGCGCGTGGACACACATACACACACGCGTGTAGACACACACACACACGCGCGTGTGGACACACATACACACACGCGTGTGGACACACAGACACGCGCGTGTGGACACACATACACACACGCGCGTGGACACACACACACGCGCGTGGACACACACACACACGCGCGTGTGAACACACATACACACGCGCGTGTGGACACACACACACACACACGTGTGGACACACACGCGTGTGGACACACACACGTGTGTGGACACACAGACACGCGCGTGGGACACACATACACACACGCGCGTGGACACACACACACGCGCGTGGACACACACACACACGCGCGTGTGAACACACATACACACGCGCGTGTGGACACACACACACACACACGTGTGGACACACACGCGTGTGGGACACCACACGCGTGTGTGGACACACACGCGTGTGTGGACACACACACACACGCGTGTGGACACACACACACACACGCGCGTGGACACACATACACACACGCGTGTGGACACACACACACGCGTGTGGACACACACACGCACGTGGACACACACACACGCGCGTGTATATACACACACACACACTCTCGCGTGGATACACACACACGCATGGATACAAACATTCGCGTGGATACAACAACAACAACCGCCATTCGCCACTAAGTGGCGGTGGACGTCACCACGACGCTTGTGCCAGGACATGTGCACCTTGAGGCCACGTGGAGTGTCGAACGCCCGCTGGCAGGAGGTCACGGGGCAGACCCAGGTGCCACGGGTCGACTGACTGAGATGACTGGCTGATGCACCACCTGTGCCCCCTACTGTGCCAACCTGCTGTGCTTTAGCCACCCGGCGCTCCGCTCGTTGTTGTGAGCGTCGCTCCTCCGCCCTCCGTTGTTGTTGGAAGGCGACTGCCTCCAACTGCCCAGTAGCGTCCTTCACGAGCCTCCTCCACAGAGGCCGATCTTAACACCGCTGGTACCAGTCATCGGCAAGTCCACTCAGCTCCACGTCCTCCTGTATCGCATCACTCCATCTCTTCTCTAGCCCGTGCCGCGCCCGTTTAGCCCCCTCGATCCGGCCGAACAAAAGCTGTTTCGGCATGCGGTGGCTGGGCATGCGGGCTACATGACCCAGCCATTGCAGCCTTGCCTGCCGGAGGAGCTCACCGATGGGACCTTGCCCAGATCTTTCAAGGATTTGTGAGCTCCTCACACAATCCAGTCTGGTTAAACCCAGGATGGATGGTAGGCAGGCCAGCCTAAATGTTTCTAACCGGCGAAGATGTTCCATTAGGGGGGTCCACGTTTCGCAAGCGTAGAGAAGGGAGGGAATGACCGTGGCCGAGATGACCTGAAGCTTAGTGCGGAGCGACAGACCAGGTAGCTTCCACACAGCGTTACGCAACCGATGAAAAGATATTGCCGCTCGAATGATTTGGAGTGAGACCTCTGCTGTTAAACTGGAGCCAGTCATAAGCACACTGCCCAGGTATGGGAAACTCTCCACTCTCTCCACAACTGCCCCATCACCGATTGGGAGGTGGATGGCCTGCCTACGACCCATCCTTGGTTTAACTAGGCTGGATTGTGCGAGGAGCTCACAAATCCTTGAAAGATCTGGAAAAAGTCCCATCATCGGTGGGCTCCTCCAGCAGGCAAGGCTGCGTTGGCTGGGTCATGTAGCCCGCATGCCCAGCCACCGAATGCCTACCGAAAGAACCAAAGAGTATGCCTAAACAGCTTTTGTTCGGCCGGATAGAGGGGGCTGAACGGGCGTGGGCACGGGCTCGAGAAGAGGTGGAGTGATGTGGTACAGGAGGACATGGAGCTGAGTCGAGTTGGGCCTCTGTGGAGGAGGCTCGTGAAGGACGCTACTGGGCAGTTGGAGGCAGTCGCCCTCCAGCAACGGAAGGCTGAGGAGCGACGCTCACAACGAGCGGAGCGCCGGGTGGCTAGAGCACAGCAAGTTGGCACAATAGGGGGCACAGGTGGTGCATCAGCCAGTTATCTCAGTTAGTCGACCCGTGGCAAACCTACACAAACTCTCTCTCTCTACTGAAGCAAACCTACACGAACTCTCTCTACTGAAACAAACCTACACCAACTCTCTCTCTACTGAAAAAACCTACACAAACTCTCTCTACTGAAACAAACCTACACAAACTCTCTCTACTGAAACAAACCTACACAAACTCTCTCTACTGAAACAAACCTACACAAACTCTCTCTAGTGAAACAAACCTACACAAACTCTCTCTCTCTAGTGAAACAAACCTACACCAACTCTCTCTACTGAAGCAAACCTACAGAAACTCTCTCTCTACTGAAACAAACCTACACAAACTCTCTCTACTGAAACAAACCTACACAAACTCTCTCTAGTGAAACAAACCTACACAAACTCTCTCTCTCTACTGAAACAAACCTACACCAACTCTCTCTACTGAAACAAACCTACACGAACTCTCTCTACTGAAACAAACCTACACAAACTCTCTCTCTACTGAAACAAACCTACACGAACTCTCTCTCTACTGAAACAAACCTACACAAACTATCTCTACTGAAACAAACCTACACCAACTCCCTCTCTACTGAAACAAACCTACACAAACTCTCTCTCTACTGAAACAAAACTCTACACAAACTCTCTCTACTGAAACAAACCTACACAAACTCTCTCTACTGAAACAAACCTACACAAACGCTCTCTACTGAAACAAACCTACACAACTCTCTACTGAAACAAACCTACACAAACTCTCTCTACTGAAACAAACCTACACCAACTCTCTACTGAAACAAACCTACACAAACTCTCTCTCTCTACTGAAACAAACCTACACCAACTCTCTCTCTACTGAAACAACAACCTACACACACTCTCTCTCTCTTACTGAAACAAACCTACACAAACTCTCTCTACTGAAGCAAACCTACACCAACTCTCTCTCTACTGAACACAACCTACACGAACTTCTCACTGAAACAAACCTACACCAACTCTCTCTCTACTGAAACAAACCTACACAAACTCTCTCTCTCTCTACTGAAACAAACCTACACAAACTCTCTCTCTACTGAAACAAACCTACACGAACTCTCTCTCTCTACTGAAACAAACCTACACAAACTCTCTACTGAAACAAACCTACACAAACTCTCCTCTACTGAAACAAACCTACACAAACTCTCTCTACTGAAACAAACCTACACGAACTCTCTCTCTACTGAAACAAACCTACACCAACTCTCTCTCTCTCTACTGAAACAAACCTACACAAACTCTCTCTACTGAAACAAACCTACACAAACTCTCTCTCTCTACTGAAACAAACCTACACAAACTCTCTCTCTACTGAAACAAACCTACACAAACTATCTCTACTGAAACAAACCTACACAAACTCTCTCTCTAGCTACTGAAACAAACCTACACAAACTCTCTCTCTACTGAAACAAACCTACACAAACTCTCTCTCTCTACTGAAACAAACCTACACAAACTCTCTCTACTAAAACAAACCTACACCAACTCTCTCTACTGAAACAAACCTACACAAACTCTCTCTCTCTCTCTACTGAAACAAACCTACACAAACTCTCTCTCTACTGAAACAAACCTACACAAACTCTCTCTCTACTGAAACAAACCTACACGAACTCTCTCTACTGAAACAAACCTACACAAACTCTCTCTCTACTGAAACAAACCTACACGAACTCTCTCTCTACTGAAACAAACCTACACCAACTCTCTCTCTACTGAAACAAACCTACACCAACTCTCTCTACTGAAACAAACCTACACAAACTCTCTCTACTGAAACAAACCTACACCAACTCTCTCTACTGAAACAAACCTACACGAACTCTCTCTACTGAAACAAACCTACACCAACTCTCTCTACTGAAACAAACCTACACGAACTCTCTCTACTGAAACAAACCTACACAAACTCTCTCTAATGAAACAAACCTACACGAACTCTCTCTCTCTACTGAAACAAACCTACACAAACTCTCTCTACTGAAACAAACCTACACCAACTCTCTCTCTACTGAAACAAACCTACACGAACTCTCTCTCTCTACTGAAACAAACCTACACAAACTCTCTCTCTCTACTGAAACAAACCTACACAAACTCTCTCTACTGAAACAAACCTACACAAACTCTCTCTCTACTGAAACAAACCTACACGAACTCTCTCTCTACTGAAACAAACCTACACGAACTCTCTCTACTGAAACAAACCTACACCAACTCTCTCTCTACTGAAACAAACCTACACAAACTCTCTCTCTACTGAAACAAACCTACACGAAACTCTCTCTACTGAAACAAACCTACACAAACTCTCTCTCTACTGAAACAAACCTACACAAACTCTCTCTCTACTGAAACAAACCTACACAAACTCTCTCTCTACTGAAACAAACCTACACAAACTCTCTCTACTGAAACAAA